TCCTTGTCCTCTAGAACCTTCCACTGACTCTCCTGCTCCTCGTGAGCGCTGGGTCCTGCCTGGTTGGGGTCTGGCAGCGTGATATAGCCCAGGACCTTGACCGTAATCCTCGAGATGCTGCTGTCTGCCGTCGAGCTGGTTCCGCACTCCTTGATCCACGTGCTGGCCTGCTCCTGATCTCCCTTCATCATCATCAACAGAAGCCTCCGAGGGATGTCTGCCAACTCCTTCACCGAGTCCTGGGCCTTGCCTGGCTTGTCGAGCCAACTGTTGAAAGCGCTGAGAAGTGCGGCAAAATTCTGCAATTCGGGCGGACCGAGCCCGTGTGTGTTGTTCTTGCCCTCGACCTTATTCTGGTACTCCTGGTAGGTCTGCTTCAGCGTGTCCACGTACAGATCGTCGCTCGGTCCGTACACCACCAGGCCCGCTCCGAACTCCAGCGTGCGCACCCGCGACTCCAGCTGTCGAAGCAGGCGAGCGTTCACGTGGGAGTCCTCGACGCCCTTGCCCGAGCCCTTGCGCGCCTTGTTGCTGTCTCCCTCTGCGTTGGCCTCCGTTGCGACCCGCTTGAGAGCGCTCGGCATGAGACACTGGACCTCCATGGAGCAACTCGAGATCTTCCAACAGACCAGGCAGCTCGAAATCCAAACAATGATCCGCCAGGTGCTCCTGCAGATGCTCGGACAAAATGTGTCTACGGAGCTCATCATTGTCGGCCCCTTCGAAATCATCGCAGGCTGGGCAAGCGTAAGACGAGGGCTGAATGATATGTCCGTCTGCGCGCCCTCGGTCTACACAGCATAGGCCCGTGCTGAGGCTCTTGTGCATGTGTCTTTTTGCATAGTCAATCGAAGAGAAATTCGAGCCAAAGATAACGCACTGACTGGATACACAGCAGAGTCTCCCAAGAAGTTGCTTTCCGTGAGTGCCTCCCTTGGTTCTCAGATAGTGGGCCGCCAACTGCTTTTTTGTCATGAAGCGTTCAGCACAGGGCTCTCCACCGGCTCGAAGGGCCTTGCATTGGTGGGGTCCTCCACTCTCGATCTCCTCCTGCCTCCTCTCGTGCTGTGCGATGTTGAGGAAATAGTGCGGCGCGATCCCTCCCATCCAATTGAGCGAACTCCTCCCTCCCCTCGAATAATATCCCCTCCAACCCATAGATCTCCATCAACCTCGCCCCGTCATCGAAGAGTTCGATCGCTCGTATGTCGTCGCAGAACTGTTCGCACCACGGGTTCGCCTTCGCGTCGTTGCTCAGATACTTTTCGAGCTCGGTCAAATCCTCGCCCCGAGAGCACCCGAAAACGACCGCAAGAAATTGAGCACACCGTGGGGCCTCGCGTAGACAAGCTTGGAGCCATCGGAGCCTTCGAACTCTCATTTCCACATGTGGGGCAGCGAGGCGCACTTTTGCAAGGGCCTGTAGGTTGGTGAGGGTGCGTACGGAGCCGTCCTCCTGCCACTGTGCTGTGCCTCGCAGCAGGATCCGAGCACGCACAGCAAGAAAGCGAAGAATAGGTTGCCAATCGTGCGGGCGCATGGGGCCCGCTCGAGCACACAGGACCTCCGCTCCACTGTAACACGCACTGGCCACATACCCTTTGAGCATGTTGATCTTCCAACCAAGAGACACTGCACTCTGCCAAAACTTAGAGAGATTATACCAGGCAGTGCGCCCAGCATGTAGTCTGTACTCTATCTCACACAATGCAAACCTCGAATGAATGCGCGGGCCCAAATATCGTGCACACACTGTCGTACGCCCAGCAAGCTCCTGATCTCGCAGGAACTTCGCTTCCATGAAGGCTGCGTTGGCGCCTGTGAAAAAAAACTAAATTCTCCTGCTTGCTCACATTCTGAATCATCTGGATCTCGGCGAGCCTCTCAGTGATGACTTCGTTCTGAATGACTCCCTCCGCCATGATACTAGCTGCGTTGTTGGTGACATCGAAATTGTCGGCTACGTCGTCTACATACACAGTGAAAGAAGCTTGAATCCACTGAGCCGACCATGGGCACTTGAAACTGGCAGCTCGGTAGTTAGAAATATTAATCGAACCCATTCCCATTTGTCTGGCATAAGCACCTACGAAAAGTCGGACCATGGCGGGATCTCCAGGCATGCATCCCTGCTGCAACCAAAGAATGTCGTTCTCAGCACCTGGTAGTCGAAAGCATGCAAGCGTGACTCGAAATTTCATGATCTGCCAATCTTCCTCACGGAAAACTCGCTCCACTTCGTGACATAAGCTGTCATGGTCGTTACTATAAAAAGCGTTGGTGGCGTCGTGCAACCTCTTAATGTGGGACTGCCCAGCCTGAAGATTGCGCCAAGAGTACGCCTGCTGCACCACCACTGCAGCCTCCCGACGTCGCCCTCTGAGACAACCGTAGATCCACGGTTCAAGGGCAGGTGGGGCTCCTCGGGCTAAGAGGCTGCGGTAGTACGTCTTGGCGATGGTACACGCGAGCATGATAAGTCGTTCGCCGTCCACGCCCTCCTTGTTGTTGCCCTTGCCAATCTTGCAGGCGTCCGACAGGATCCACGACAAAGGAAGCTTGCCACTGGTGCGGATACCTGTGAACAAGCAGGCGAGCAGGAAGTAGACAGAGTTGGCCGAAATGCGCGTCCGCTGCTCGTAGCCGATGCCGTGGCGGTGCGTCGTTCTGCGCTTGTTGACCCAGTTGGGGAACATGGCAGTGCGGAGGAGCTCCGCGATGATGCTGTCCTGAGGTGCGACACGCCAAAGCCTGAGCCGCCACACCTCATGCTTGAAAGCGTCGATGTCCTCTTTGACCTCATCTGCCGTGACCGATGTGTAGGCTTCTGGAAGCTCGTGAAGCATGTCATTCATGTCATTGAAGCTGACAAGTTGTGCTGCGGCCCCACCCTCTGCCCCAGGTTGTTGCATCCTGGTAGTCCACTCCTGTGTCGTTCCGCTGGTGTTAAGCTGTCTGTAGTTACGCCGCCGTGGTCCTCTCCCGCGTGCTGCGATGAGACGAGCCAGCCTGTGCACCTCATGGAAGTCCTTGGCCTTGCGCGCCTCCTCGAAAGCTGCTACACGATCTTGCTGTACCCGCTGCCAATGACACCTCTTGTGCTGCCTGAGCCACTTGCTGATAGTCGTGATGCGCACTGTGAGCTGCAGCTGAAGGTCGTCATCATCCTTTTGGTAGGCCCATGCCAGTCGATCACGCACTTCCCTTCTCTGGTGGAGTAGAGCTTTGAGCTCTCTGGCGTAGTCGGCGTGGTGCTCTGTGTATCCCTCCTTCTGCGTGCAGGTGGTGAGCGCAGCGTTGGTGATGGCATGAACCAGTAAGTCGTTGGCCTCCACCGCGAGTGTATATCCCGTCTGGGTATTGAGCCAGGCCGCCTTCTGCTCGATCGTGGCAGTCACGGATTACATGAACTCTCTCCGTCTATATCCCCGCTGGAGAAGGGCGTGGGCAGCCGTAGGCTCTATGCGCTCGGAGCGGCGCACATCTGTGGGAGTCATGTCCGTCACCCACTCAAGCCCCAGCCCCAGCGGTGAGTGATCCCATTCTCGTCCCCATCGACGCGGCTGAAGCCTGCGCATGCTACGCCGAAAAGTGGTGCACCATCTCATCGCTGGAAGTAGTCCTTGCGGCAATGCTATGTAGTCGAGCGTCTTGCGGGTGCCGCAGGAGGCGACGAAGGTGTAGCCCGCATCGGCCATCGTGTTGGCAAGGCATAGCCCGTGAGACTCGAGCACTGGCTTCAGCATCTGGGCTGTTCGCTTCTCGTCTGAGCCGAGGCCATACGGACCAACAGCGCCTTCTAGCTCCTCGCAAAAAGTGGAGTTGAGATCCATGGTGAGGATGGGAATCCACCTGCCCGCCAGGGCGTCCAGCTGCTGAGTCAACCAGCGAATCATTCGATCACAACAGTTAGTGTACTTGAGCAGCTGGTCTTTGTCCCTGGTGCACGGCGGGAAGTAAAGGGCGAAAACAGCAAACCGAACCGACTGCCTCTCAAGCTTGCACCCCAGGACCCGCCCTTGGAGACCTTTCGGAACAGGCGCCACTCCCCGAAGGTGATTCGGTCGAAACATCTTCCTGTTGAACCAGACACTGAGCCCACAAGATCTGTTCGTTAAAGCTCCTGAGCTCCAGCCCTCCGAGAAACCCCAGAACGACGAGCAATACCTGAGGTCCTTGGAATTCTGCTGCTTCTCCTGCGTTCCTATCAGCGATACCACGGACACGTTGTGGAGTTCATCCAGGATGTCCTGAGTGCGGGAGTGGGTGGCGCTGTGGGGGTTGTAGGCGACGAAACTGACCTGCCCGAGACGCGCCGCTGAGTCCACCGCCATGGCGAGCAGACTGGGGGTTCCGCACACATGTCCTGAATTCTGAAGTGGCCAGCAGTCTTCTGAGACCTCGGATTGCCACTTGGAGAAGGAGGAGGAGGAGGAGGAGGAGGAGGAGGAGGAGGAGGAGGAGGAGGAGGAGGAGGAGGGGGAGGAGGAGGAGGAGGAGGAGGAGGAGGGAGGGAGGGGGGGAGGGAAGGGAGGGAGGGAGGGAGGAGGAGGAGGAGAGGAGGAGGAGGAGGAGGAGGAGAGGAGAGGGAAGAAGTCCACGGGTGAGGCCTTTTGGGGCCTCTTGGGGAACGTCTGAGCACGAGTCTCGGAGCACGAGCAAGACAACGAGGAATACGCGGAGCAGCAGGAGGAGCAGGAGGGAGAGGAGGAGGAGGAGGAGGAGGAGGAGGAGGAGGAGGAGGGACGCGACGCGAAATTCCCATTCCCAACTGCTGCTCCGCGTATTCCTCGTTGTCTTGCTCGTGCTCCGAGACTCGTGCTCAGACGTTCCCCAAGAGGCCCCAAAAGGCCTCACCCGTGGACTTCTTCCCTCTCCTCCTCCTCCTCTTCCTCCTCCTCCCTCCCTCCCTCCTCCTCCTCCTCCTCCTCCTCTTCCTCCTTCTCCTCGTCGCTATGCCCCCCCCCTCCCCTCCTCCTTCTCCCTCTCGGCGCTCGCTCCTGGTTGGAGCACCAGCTCGTCGCCAAGATCTTCACGTAGCACCTGGCTCGCGGCCGCAGGGGCCGCAGGGGCGGCTCGTGCCGTGCGCCGCCCCGGACGCCAAACATGGCCGATGCCCGGGTGAGCGTCGAGAGGGTCCTGTCAGGAGGAGGAGGAGGAGGAGGAGGAGGAGGAGGAGGAGGAGGAGGAGGAGGAGGAGGAGGGGGAGGAGGAAGGAGGAAGGGGGAGGAGGAGAGGAGGAGGAAGAGGAGGAGGAGGAGGAGGAGGAGGAGGAGGAGGAGGAGGAGGAGGAGGAGGAGGAGGAGAGGAGGGAGGAGGAGGAGGGAGGTGGTTTTTTTTCCCGGTTTCGTGCGTGTTTTGTTCGCCAAATGATCAAGGATGCTCCTCGCCGAAATTATCCCAGTGCGACCCTACCTAGGAGTTGGAGCATCTAGGAAAGCAACATCTACATCTGCACCGACAGCTACATCAACATCTACACCTGCATCTACATCTACATCAACATCAACAGCGATATTCACATCTACATCTGCATCTACACCTACATCTACACCTACATCTACCTCTACACCTACACCTACATCTCCATCTACATCTACACGTTCGCATTGGTGTTGTTTTTGCTTTGCATTGCCTTGCCTTTGCTGTTGCTTTTGCTTTTGCTGTTGCTTTTGCTTTGAATGTGTTGTTGCTTTTGCTTGATTGTGTTTTTGCTTTGCCTGCGCACAGACACACACACACACACACACACACGTTACGTCACCGCTCTCTGGTGGGAGCCTTGGTCTTATCAGCTTGTTTACGTCACCCTGCGCTCTTGGGAGAATTGGTGTGAAGAGCTTTTTGCGTTCGATCGGTCTGTATTTGGCGTCTCTGGGCCTTCTTGGGAGTTTCAGGGGGGCCTCTCTCGGGGCCGTCTTGGGACCCTCTTGGGGCCGTCTTGGGCGCCTCTTGGGCCGTCTTGGGACGTTTTTGGGACGCTTTTGGGGGCCTCTTGGGAGCCTCTTGGGCCGTCTTGAGGCGTTCTTGGGGGCGTCTTGGACCGTCGTCAACGCTGTGAAAACCGAAAAGCCGTGTATGGCGAAAATGTATGTTTCCTCTAGGGAATCGATGATTTTGGTCTCCTGGTGGCCTCTTGGGACGCCTCTTGGGAGCCTCTTGGGAGCCTAGTTGCTTTTGCTTTGCCTTTCCTTTGCTTTGCTTTTGCTTTTGCGTTGCTTTGCTTTGCGTTGCTTGTGCTTTGCTTTGCTGTCGCTGCTGTTGCTTTGCCTTTGCTTTGCTGCTGTGCTGTGCTATGCTCTGCTCTGCTCTGCTATGCTATGCTGCGCTGTGCTATGCTGTGCTGTGCTGTGCTGCGCTATGCTATGCTATGCTGCGCTATGCAATGCTATGCTGGGCTATGATATGCTGTGCTGCGGTATGCTATGCTACGCTATGCTATGCTGTGCTCTGCTATGCTAAAGCTCAGCGAAGCTAAGATGAAGGTAAGCTAAGCTAAGATAAAACTGAGCTAAGATGAAGCGAAGCTAAGCTAAGATGAAATAAGCTAAGCTAAGATGAGATAAGCGACGCTAAGCTGAGGGGACGTAACTGGGCGAACCGCGGGGCGGATGCCGGGGGAACCGCCCGGGGCGAGGACCACTGCCCGGCCCTTTAAGCTTAGCGAGTAAGAACCCATCTAGGCAGAGCCTAGGTAGGGGAACAAATGCACAAGTTCGAGCGTTGCCAGGTCCTGTGCCGAGCGCCCTCGGAGCCCTCCCCTCCGTCTGGTCAGGTTTCGGCCTGCGATGGCCTCAGCCCCCCGAACAGCCCCCGCCGGCCTCCACGGGCTCTCCGATCGGGCCGGGGCGGGCCCAACACCCCTGGCGGTCAGGCCCCGCCCTGGGCTGCGGCAGGCTCGCGTCGGAGTGCCTGCGGCGGTGCCCTCTGGCACGGCGCGGATCGCTCCGCCTCGAGCGATCGCGCGGCTTCGCGAGGACGCAGATCGTTCGACGCCGGCGGCTTCCGGGCGCCACTGGCGGCGCTCAACCTGGCACGCGCGCGCTGGGGTCGCCGCCGCGTCGACACGACGAGGGCCTCCTCACCTCTCGCCGAGCCGTCTCCGAACTCCTCGTGTCGCGCGAACTCCGACGGCGACGTCTCCTGACGCATCCGACCCCGACACCTTGGGGAGAGACGACGACTCCAAGCGGGCACGGAAACAGCTCATGCGGTCCTCGATTTGAAGCTCGGCCAGGGCACCCGGGCTCATCAGGCTCCATACCTCGTCGTGCCGCATGCTGCCTTAGGTGGCCGCCACGGTGCCGCCGTCTGGACAACCCATCCACACCGATCGGATCCACAACTCCAGCCCACGAGGAACCCGCCATGAATTAGCAGCGTGCGATCAGAGGCCCTGAGAGCCATCACATGCAAATGCCACCCTTCCTTTCGTGCTGCTCGGGTCTCTGGGGGTTGAGATCTGGGATGTCTGGAGACCGCGAGAACCATGCAGTCCAAGCCTTCCCGCTCCGTCCATCCAGCACCGCCATCTCCTCCTCCTCCTCCTCCTCCTCCTCCTCCTCCTCCTCCTCCTCCTCCTCCTCCTCCTCCTCCTCCTCCTCCTCCTCCTCCTCCTCCTCCTCCTCCTCCTCCTCCTCCTCTTCTGAGTGAGTTGCCCCGTGGCGAGCGATGAAGGGCGAGGCGAGGCTGCGCCCGAGCGACGATGTGTCGGCCGACGCTCGGACCAGATCGGGTAGCACATCTCTGTCCCCGTCTCGCATCCTCCTCCTCCTGCTCCTCCTCCTCCTCCTGCTCCTGCTCCTGCTCCTCGGGGATCCGACACATGTCAGAATTGTCCCGTGGCTGTCCCGTGGGCTGCGTGGATTGTCCCGTGGCTGTCCCGCGGGTTGCCCCGTGGACTGTCCCGCAATCATCCCGTGGGTTATCCCACGGCTGTCCCGCGCGTTGTCTCGTGGGTTGTCCTGTGTGTTGTCCCATGGTTGTCCCCCGTGTTGTTCCACGGTTGTTCCCATGGTCGTACCGTGGGAATTTCACTTCGACGTGTACGAACTGCACGAGATATGCAAATCGATCTGCACATCGACATGCAATCCGACGTGCAACTCGGAACGCACGGCGGTTTGCACATGACACGTTCACATTGCTATGCACTTCGACATGCATCTCAATGGCAATCGAGCCGCGATTCGAACCGCGAATGGACATACACAAAGGGTTGCACATCGAACATCTCGCTCGATATGCAACTTTGCAAACTCGAATCCCACCATCCCTTCGGGCTGAGGTAGTCTAACAATATCTGTTCCTCCTCTTCCAGAAGCCCTCATCCCTTCGGGGCTGCTTGCCTCCCTGGGGCTCCAAACTTCGCGCCTCGCGCTCTGCGAAGTGCGCAGCGCGAATCGCTTCGCCCTCTCGCGCCGCCCCCCCAAAGGGAGAAGAGGAGGACGAGGAGGCCTCCTCCTCCTCCTCCTCCTCCTCCTCCTCCTCGTCCTCGTCCACCTCCTCCTCCTCCTCCTCGTCCACCTCCTCCTCCTCCTCCTCGTCCTCCTCCTCCTCCTCCTCGTCCTCGTCCTCCTCCTCCTCCTCCTCCTCCTCCTCCTCCGCCTCCTCCTCCTCCTCCTCGGAGAAGGCACGAGGCCCGCGGAGCCGCGAAGGACTTCGCGCCCTCGAGGGGCGCCCTTGGCCTCCCCCCCCCCCCTCCCTGGGTCTGCGCGGGGCGGAGGGCGGACGGGGCTGGAGCGCCCAAGACGGCCCAGGATGGCTCCGCGAGGGCCTCCAGGAGGAGGAGGATGAGGAGGAAAGGGAGGAGGAGGAGGAGGGAGGAGGAGGAGGAGGAGGAGGAGGAGGAAAGGGATGATGATGATGAGGAGGAGGAGGAGGAGGAGGAGGAGGAGGAGGAGGAGGAGGGGGAGGGGGAGGGGGAGGAGGAGGGGAAGGAGCAGGAGGATGAGCAGGAGGAGGAGGAGGCTGGAGCGTCCAAGATGGCCTCCAGGATGGCCCAAGATGACTGGCGATGGTTCAAGATAGCTTCAGACATGCCGCCTAGAGTCCCGACGGGGTTCACAGGACGGTTCCAGATGCTCTCGGAACCCCCTCAGGACCCACCTCCAAGCGGCCAACATCCTTCACACACCAAGGGAAAACCAATGATGTTTGCCGTCTCGCCTTTTCGCTCCCGGTGCGCTTTTGAAGCCTGAAGATGGCCTAAGAGAGAGCAACGAGGGGCCCAAGAGGCCCCCCAGACGGCCCCAAGAGCGCCCAAATAGGCGACGTTGATGGCCCCAAAGGGGGGAACCATGTTAGGACCCCCCCCCCCTCTTGATGGATGGCCTCCAAAATTGCCCCCAAGAGGCCCTCCAAGGCTCTAGACCCGCAAGAAACCCCCAAAAGGGCCCAAAGACGTCCTCCCAAAGAGTCCCACGAGGACTCCAAGATCCCCCAACAGAGTCCCAAGAGGGCACTGAGAGGCGATTTTGAAGGTGCTGTCCTCGTCCTCGTTGTCCTCCTCCTCCTCCTCCAGCTCCTCCTCGTCCTCGTCCTCGTCCTTGTCCTCAGCGTCTTCCTTTTCCTTTTCCTCCTCTTCCTCGTCGCCGTGGTCGCATTCGTCGTCGTCTTCTTCGTCTTCTTCTTTTTCCTCCTCCTTCTCCTCATCTTCCTCCTCCTCCTCCCCTCGCCCCAACGCGGACCCCAGGGATGGTCCGAAGAGGTCCTCCAAAGCCCCCCTTGCTCACAAAAATCTCTCTGCTCACCCTGGCTGCCCGCGTTATTTCGCTACATGCGTCGATGCGTCTCTTTTCCCGTCAACTCTCATGGGCAAGGTTTCCGCATGGGCTGGTGAGGATATGCAAAGCGTGAAGGATTCCAACTCGAAAAGCAAGTCGGTTTGCACACCGAGAACCCACATCGGCATGCAATTCGAAATGGAACTCGAACACACACACACACACACACACACACACACACACACACACACACACACACACACACACACACACACACACACACACACACACACACACACACACGCGCACGCACGCACGCACACACGCACGCACGCACGCACGCACGCACGCACGCACGCACGCACGCACGCACGCACGCACGCACGCACGCACGCACGCACGCACGCACCCACACACACACACACCCACACCCACACCCACACCAACACCCAACACCCACCACACCACAACACAACACACCACAACACAACACAGCACAGCACAGCACACCAGAGCATAGCACAACACAAGAGAACCCACACACACACACACCGAAGCACGCACACGCATACACATACGCACACACACAAACACACACATTCACACACACACACACGCACACACACACACACACACACACGCGCACACGCAAGAGCACGCACGCACACGCACGCGCACGCACGCACACGCACGCACACGCACGCACACGCACACGCACACACAAGCACACGCACTCACACGCACACGCACACGCACACACACACGGACACAAACGCACACACGCACACGCACACACACACAAGCACACGCACGCACACGCACACACGACGAAGCGCCCGACACACACACACACACACGCGCACACACACGAGCACACACACACACACCCACACCCACGCACACGCACGCACACACACGCGCACACGCACACACACACGCACACACACACGCACACACACCATGCACCCACACACACACACACACACACACGCACACACGCACACACACACACACAGTCACACACACAAACGCACACGCTCGCACACACACACACACACTCACTCTCTCTCACACACACGCACGCCCACACTCGCACGCACGCACGCACGCACGCACACAAACCAACCCCCCCCCCCCCCACACACACACACACACACACACACACACACACACACACACACACACACACACACACACACACACACACACACACACACACACACACACACGCACACACACAAATACACACACACACACACACGCACGCACGCACGCACGCACGCACGCACGCGCACACACAGAAACACACACAACCACACACACACACACGCACACTCACACGCACACGCACACGCACGCGCACGCGCACGCCCGCACGCCCCCGCGCACGCACGCACGCACGCACGCACGCACGCACGCACGCACGCACGCATACACACACGCACAGACACACAGCCCCACACCCACGCCCCACACCCCACAACACAGCACGCAACACACACACACAGACAACACACACAAACACACACGAACACACACACATCATACAAAGAGGCGTGTACATCGAACATACGAATCGACATGCAACTCGAAATCCGCCGACCCTGCAGAGTGTGGAAGACGTTGTCATCGTCGATATCATCGTCGTCGCCGTCGTCGCAGTCACTGGGTCCTCCTCCTCCAGCACGCCAGCCACAGCGAAACTGAACCGAAACCTCAGGCGCGCCAGCCAAAGCGAACCAAACCGAACTCGAGCAACGTTGCAACTGACTCGAAGGGAAGCCCCTTCCCTTGAACAACGTCGTAGTCGACGAAGCCGACGGTCACCAACAGCCGCTCCGCGTCACTCGCAGCGCCTAATCGAAAGTTACAATACTTGCTTGCCAGTAGCCATCTTTACGACGTGCGCATCAAGCGTGCGCGAAACGCCTTAGAAACGCTTCGCAAACGCTTTCGCAATACTTCGCACGCGCTTCGCGGGCGATGGCTTACGCGACTACCATCCCGTCCGCGTCTGTGCTATCCGGGTTTAGGACAACACGAGTGTCTGTCTTACACAAAACCCTCACAAAAGGGGGGGTTCTATTTTGTCACTTAGTCGCCACATGTAAATGGTGTGCTAGAGAAGGGCACATGGAGGCCACTGGAGGTTTGAGATTTCAGAAGGGTTAGCGCAGTGCCGCTTAGACGGTCCAATAGAAGCGTTGAGCGACGGCCAGAAAAGCACAAGAGGCCTCCAATCAAACCCAAATGCCCAGAGAAATGCACGAGACGTCGATGAATTACTTCAAGGACAAATACTGCTTCTGGAATGGCTCGAAAAGCCCCCGGGCAGCCCAAACATGAAGACAAGAGTTGGTAACTCAATGACATCATCAACCACGTACATACGCCAAAACGACCGAAGAAGGCCTCTAGGGGAACGTCGGCGGCGCCCTGACTGGCCTGTCGGTCCATCCGGGCCAATGGTCGATTCAGGCACCTGGCAAAGCCAATGCAGATCCTTGGGCCTTTGTGGCTATTCCGACGTGCTTGCTGCCCTATGGCTTTCCCCAAGCA